AATATTCTCAAAAGCATCAATATCTTGACCATGTCTGAATATTTTTTCATAAAAAATATTACTTCTATCAGGGTTAGCAACCAATTCATAGCAATTTTCCAAACCAAGTGGCTCCTTTATTTGCATTCGGTCGATGTTATTAGCTGTAGCAGTCATTGCAATTACTGGTACATTGGGAAATGTTGCACACAGCATGATAAGTTTCCCATAGGCTGGTCTGAAATCATCTCCCCTAAACAAAATTAATACAATATTAATAATGCGATATTTTAGCTAATGATATCTAAAAGAACTAAAAAAAAAGCAGCAGACATTTCCATGTATGTGGCCCTATAAATTGATAATACTGTAACTAACAGATAAAGCTATATCGAAAAGATTATATTAAAGGGTAAAATTCTGAGTTTCAGCAGGAAAAAGAAGCAAACTTATAATTCTGATTTGAAACCTACCATTCAAGAATGCAATGAGCTTCATCAATTACAATGGCGCAGACATTTTTTTGATATATTGGACTGTTAGCCAGTTCTCGTCCAAATTTACACGAGATGAATGCCTCAGGATGGGCGAATAATATGTTATAATAACCACTGGCAAGTTCTTCCTTCTTGCCATGCTTATCAAGATCAAACTCCTCGTTGTTATCAGTTGTGGATTGCTGTGATACATTTAGTGAGGACACCATAAGACCCGTCGTCAATAACTTGCGAATTTGGTCGCTTATTAAGGAGTTTAACGGCGATATTACCAGTAATACTGTAGTTACGTCACCAATGGATATAATACCTCGATTGGGATCTTCTTCGAACACCTTCTTACGAAACAGAATTAAAGGTAAAAGTTGGTATATTAAAGACTTGCCATAACCAGTAGGAAGGACAGCCAATATATCTTCGCCCAAAAAAATCTTTTCCAAACAGATTACCTGCTTCGGCTTTAAATTAACATCGGAATATAAACTATGGATAATAGAAAAGTGTAAACACACGAGAAAATGCATGCATTTCGAATCCTTTTGCATCTTTGAGGCTATTAAATCAATTCGCTGTCAAATTTCCACTCAAAGTCTCGAATTATAATATGTCGCGCTCACTCCTGCGAAACAAGATATCAAACCGGAAGCTGCTATTAACAGTATATCGTATTTCAACCACCCCCCCTAGGGACCTCATGTGGCGATTATTTTTTGTGGGTCACGTGACCAGTGTCAACCAGGGTCTTTGCCGTAGCCCTCGCGGAGGTATAAAGACCCTGGCTTGCGAGGTTGACTCAACATCAGTTTTGGCAAGGAAACAACCTGGCCCAAAACGTTTAATGCCCTCAATGGCATCATCAATGGTAACATACTGTAGACTAAAATCATCCTTGCAAATTGCGCTGTTTATGCTGGTCATGCCCGACTTGGGAAACGAGAGGTGAAAAATCAAGCGAAATTTTTTAGAATTCTTTTTGGGAACAATGCCAATTGGTGAAACTTGAAGATTACTGAATGGGGGACTGTCAAATGGACCTGCCACCCGGCCAAGAGAGACTTCTTTTGCCAAATTTGCCGAGACAATGCTAGGGTTGGCAAGCGCTGTAGGCAAATTTTTTGAAAACCGTGGGATACGCTGTCCCTGAAAACCAATTCTTGCCCCATACCGTAAAATATTACATATTTGTGACGTAAAATGTGTATCTGGGTGCCCAGTGAGTGCTACTTCTAAATTATCTACAGATATAGGTGTCGGTAGCGACAAAATTATCTTACTGATGCTTTGATTTGCTGGATTTGTGACTACTCGTTGAGGCGTGGTTGCTATTGCTTGAGGGTCTTTCACCGCATTTATATCCTGGGTGAGGACCTGCGCATCGGTTGCAGGCGTGGCTGTATCGACATGGGTTGTAGATGCATGTCCCATTTCGGTTGAATTCGCGGCAAATGGCTGTACCCCGTTTTGCGCCCCCTGAGGAATTGATATTTTGGGGTCCATTGGAAAAAAGGGGGTATTCTCGTTTTAGATTCTCAGGTGATGTAGTGAAAATCAATAACCACAACTGTTGGTCAATCTCAGACCACTTTAGAAGAGGGTTTAAGGCAGCTTTTCTGCGAAATTTGTGGTCGTAGACGCACCACCCAAGCCCTCGGTGTGTTTGTGCTGCGTGACGGATCAGTGACAGATACTGGAGTAAATCTTGAGATCTGGTGGGAAACTTGTGCGTAAGGACGCTCATATAACTCGTAAACGCAGTCGTCCATTGTTCGATGCTAGTGATTTTTTGAGTTGCTGGGGACTTTTTAACTTTAAGGACTGAATTTTCTAACGTAAAGACGACTGGCTCGTCATCGGCGGCAGTGGGAAAGCTACTGGGTAAAAGTTTTGATAAGTCAAAAAACTCACCAGACTGAATCTGTTTCACGTAGGAAGCTGGGATATCATGCGCGCCGTGTCCATACGGGGTGGCTGGTTCCGCTTGAGCAAACTGTGTTAAATCAACTGTGCTAACATCTGGAACTGCGCTGGGTTGACTACGAAGAACATCGGAGGAAGCACTCGGGATTTCTGTTAGAACTGCTGGATGGCTTTGTGCTGTCGACGAAGTCATAGCTTGGACAGCAGCCCGGGCGGCGTTCGTTGCTATTTCAGCGGCAGATCGTTCTACGCTTTCTGACACGATTGATCGAATCTGTGCGAGTTGTGCATCGGTCAACAAGGCAGGCGATTGTGTGGTCAGTGTAGAACTAACGGTTGATGTTTCTACCGAAGTACTCGGCGTAGCAGAAGGCACGTTTCCCGTAGTGTGTTGTTGCAAGCGCGCAATCAAAGTTTGTCTTCGACCGCCACTAGATATACCTTCTTCCTCGCATCTACGACGCAGGCTCGCAATACTGTCATCATCCCCCGTGCCAGATCGAGTTTGGCGACGTTGATTCGTTCCGTTTCTTTGTTGTCGAGGCATTTAAACCGAGATTTTGTTGAATTTATTAATATTGATTTAAACTTTGTAACAAGGAGCTCGAAGGTAAATCCTTCAAAAGCTTTGAGCAAATAATGCCAAAAAATTGCGCGTGATGCATAACTTATGCTCCTACTTGCTTTGTGATTGGCTGTTGGTTTTAGTTGGGATATGTAAAAGCTTTTCATTGGCTAAAAGCGTTTCTTTCATTAATATTCACGTGAACACAGTGCTGCTTCAAGAAAATAACCTTTGACCCACCAACAATACACGGAAATGTCGACTTGCACCTTTGTCATGCATTTGTCAATGAGGATAAGCTTGCAAAACACTTGCTTTCAACATGTTGTCTCATTAACTGAATTTAAACATTTTAAATTGGCTTTAAATTCTGATAATAGTATATATTGTATTGTGTGTGATTAAAGTAAGGTTATTTTTTTTTACCCCACCTCTGCATGCAAGGATTTTTTGGCCACCCCACCTAAAGCAACTATTATTTTTCAGTTACCCCACCATTTTCTCTTCGGCCCCCACCCCTGCCATAAATAATGACCGGTCCCTAAGTACATCTGTTATTTCAGGTGTATCACATATCGATAGAGGCGCGAGTTAAATTCACAAAATATTTTTGTGTTTGAATTGTATTGCATCCTCTGAGTTATGAAAATTAAATATTGACACTGAAGAGAACAGCAAATCATTCACTGTCCCAAATGGAATTCTTACGAATTGCAGGAACAAATTGTTAATAAGAATTTATAATCCGCTTTTTTGTTCCTTTCTTTAGGGTCACTGATCACGGATGAAGAGAAGTGAAAGCGATTATCAGGTTTTTGACGTTTAAAATACAGTCACGTCAGTGTTCAAAATAACATTTATAGTTGGTATGTTGTTACGTTTGCCGCATTTTCATAATATCTGTTCCCAAAATGCAATAAAAATACATGGAACTTTCAAAACCAGGTTATGCATGGTGGACGCAGTAAAAGGTTCCCGAAAAAATGCATGTAATGCAAAATGTGCCTGTATATTTTTTTATTTCAAGTGAAGCCAGAAATATGTTTTACAATAAGAAAGTTTGCTGGACATAGGAACTAAAGTGCATTCATTCATTCTATCGCATTAAGAAGTGAAGACATTGTGAATCAAAAACGCACGTTAAGAATGTAGACATAACACGTAGCCTAAAAACCCGTAGAAACAAATATGGCGGTGCTTTCCTTTTATCAGTTTGGCGAAAACTGGCAATCTTCGAAAGGAATACGAGGATGTTCAAGTGTTTTCAAGAAAGCTATGCTAGAAGAACCAAGTTCTGCTCAAAAGCATTTAATACTATCTGTATATACATTGAATGGCAGGGGTAATTAAATTACGACTATATAGGTTTTTCATGGAACGTGACCGATCTTATATCGGCAGGTACAAAACGCAGGTTGCAGGTTGGAATTTTGCAGGTTGCGAATTTTGCAGGTTGGAATTTTGCAGGTTGGGGATTTTGCAGGTTGGAATTTTGCAGGTTGCCAGGAACTTTGCAGGTTGATAATGCAAACTTAAAATTACACCACTTTTTTAGTATTCTAGTATAATTTAGTTGTGCATTTATTGCAGTCTGACTCCTTGTCGGCGCCTCTGCTCTAAGGCTAGTGGCTATCACCCCCGTGAAAATATTCAAAATGACCAGATTGGCTTGGACCTACAGGGAGACGAATGCAGGGACGTAGGAACCGGGGGGGGCAGGGGGGCCAGGTCCCCCAAGTTTTGCTAAGTGCCCTTTTTCCGGGAGCAAAGTGCCCTTTTTTTGCGTTAAAAATGTTTTAAGGATTGCCTTTTTTTGCCCAAAGCGCACTTTTCGAAACTTGAATTTATGTTATTTTCCGGAATATTTTTTTCATTTCCGGGAAAAAATATGATATGTCCGAAAAAATTTTGGTATTTCCGGAAAATTTTTTTCATATTTAGGAAAATTGGATATATCCGGAAAATTTTTTTTTGGTATGTCCGGAAAAATTTATTGAGACCTCCCCCCCGTCGCCAACATTTCCGGGAAAAAAATTTTAGATGCCCTTTTTTATTCGGAAAGTGCCCCTCAAAGCCTGCCCCCCCCAACTTTTAGAAGCTTCCTACGCCCCTAGATGAATGTTTTGATTGTTGCGAGGTGCCTACATGATGTGGCGGCGTTTATACTAGAATGTTGTTAAAAGTTAACTAACTCTCGAGTAATGATACGGTAATTGGGGGCTTGAGTGGTCTCATAAGTGGGTGCAGAGGAGAGACACTTCATTCAGGCATTTTCTGAACTGCCACCACGTCATGTAGGCTCCTCGCAACAATCGAAACATTCGTCCCCCTGAAGATCCAAGCCAATCTGGTCATTTTGGATGTTTTCACAAGGGTGATGAGCAGAGGCTAGAAACATGGTAGCAGGATAGGTTGATGTCAAAAGCGGCAACAAGGAGTCAGACTGCAATAAGTACACAATAAATTATACTAGAATACTTTATGGTAGCATAATTTTCAGTTTGCATCATCAACCTGCAAAATTTCTGTCAACCTGCAAAATTCTAACCTGCAAAATCCCCAACCTGCAAAATTCCAACCTGCAAAATTCCCAACCTGCAAAATTCCAACCTGCAAAATTCCCAACCTGCAAAATTCCAACCTGCAACCTGCAACCTGCGTTTTGTAGCTGCCGGATCTTATATAAAACAATATAATTACTACGACTCTATATACCAGCTTTCAACAAACAAACAAATAAACCGAGGTAGATGCAAGAAAGTTGATAACTTATTGGTAGAGATATAATTATTGGGATGTGCATGCATACAATCGTGTGCCAAATTACATTATGACATGTTGAATTAATTGGTCAATGGATCTGACCGATGTGGAATATAGTAACTCCAAAAGCATAACTTTAATGTCAGGGGCAGGTTGTTCAAAGGTGAATTAGCGCTAACCCTGGGTTAAAATTTAACCTGCTGTTTTAGTTTATGTATTTCTGCACGTCTGTTTATTTCAAAACGTCAGAGAAGTAAACGCCTACCCATCCAGACAAAATCGCTCAAGAAATATTTCCAAATTTATAGACAAGTTGTCAGGAAGTTTGCTTTGAATTTTAGGCTAACCCAGGGTTAAGCTAACCCAGCTTTGAACAAGCGGCGCCAGCATTTTAAACAATTGTTCTGCCTTTATAGCATCAAAAGTTTGTATTGTTTTGGCAATGTTACTCCTTCGCTAGCTTAAATATTCAAGCGACTAAATATTAAGCAAGCGCGTGACGTCACTAAGTATACATCTTAGGAGAATTTCAACGTCGATCTTTTGAGTAAAATGGTTTACTATGTAATATCTTCTACTTATATTATAAAAGAAATAGAAAAACTCGTCTCGTACGTTTATAGTGCGATAATCGTGTAAAACACTCGGTTACGACTCGTGCTTTACACGCTTCTCTCGTATTCTCCCAACATTCCCCGCGTGCATTATCACACCATAAACGCACGCGACTCGTTTTCTATTTCTTAAATAAGCTATCTTTCCAACGGCTATCAAGAAAGCCATATAGCGTTAGCCATACACAAACAGCAACCAAAGTCAAGCTGCTTTTTTTGTGCATTCGGTAAAGACTGGGGATGTTTGCGATAATTATTTTTATAAAATATTCGGAAAAAATTATACAAAGAATTTTCAACTTTAATATAATCTTTTTTATTGATTGATTGATTGATTGACATCTTTATTTAAAACACGAGGTCCATTTCACAGGTTATGTTATGTGCTCTTCAATGGAGACGTGTACCTATACTAGTAGACTAATTACTAATAAAAAGGTATCAAACTATTTACAATTAATAGTAACAAACTACACATGCAAAGAAACTAATATAAAAGAAATATTAAGATATTTTAGATTTAAACTCAGCGAGAGATTGAACTCTAGTGAGTTCGACGGGTATGTCATTCTATAGGGTAGCTCTTCTATAGGAAAAACTTTTCTTCAAGGATTCCGTTAGGGGTCTTGGTACAAAAAGTTTATGATTAGATCCACGCAAACTATGTTCGTGTATCATTGACGTGGAAGTAAATTTTCCAGACAAGTAACTAGGAACCATGTTATTAACAGTTTTGTACATAAAAGTTTTGAACTGTTGGGTACGTCTGGTTTCAAGGTTGGTCCAATTTAATGATGTTAAAATATCTGATGACCGGATGTTATAATCAGATTCGGTAATAATTCTTGCAGCCCTATTCTGTAATCGCTGTAACTTTTGTCCAAGACCCTTACCTAGGCTATCCCAGACAATACTACAATAATCAAAGTATTTTATACATTAATTGCATGGACATTTATACTACAAAATAATATATATAGAATTTCATTATTATAAGTAAATGATACTAATATGTTGTCAGTATATATATAATAAGAACATATGCTGCTAAAAAAGAGAACTTTAATTTCAAATAATACCCATCATATTAAAAGTATCATCAGGGGCGTACCGACCGCGCTGGGGGCTGTATAGGAAACCTCTCCTTTTGGAAAGCTAATGCATACTTAAAATTAAAACTTTATCCATAAAGCGTATATTTAAATGCAGATCAATTATTTGAACAAACAATGCCTTGGTCGGTGCATCGTCGAAAAATATGGAAGCATGCACACGTTACTGTATGTACGGTTTCGGTACACCACTGAATTTGATGGTTAGAGCACTATACACAATTAACAAGTAATATAGCAAGAACATGATTATATCATCCTTAATTTTATAATTACGTAACGATCAATTAATGAAATCACATGAGATTATAATTGCTATAACATAAGTGTTAGATTACATGGTAAGACCATAGGCCTAAATTTAATGACAGATACTGTCCCGCATGCAGGTTATTATTATTACATATTTTGTATTTGACGTCAGTTAACAGTTTATTGTTGTTAATTTTGACTACATTATTTGGTGGGGGAAAGTGCAGGGAGAGCTTCGACGAAGCGTTTACTGATCATTCAATACTATATAGAAACCGCGACGTAACGTCAGAGGCGCAGCCATGGAGACTGTGTGGGGGGATGAGTCTCCCCCCCCCCTCCCACTCTCATTTAGGACCACGTCTGAGTGATGTAGGGGGAAGGGGTGGGGCTGTGCACAATATAACTTTCAAACTAAGTATGCGGTAAATTTCTCTCAACTTTAATATACTAGACGTGAACGGCAGAAAAAAAGTTTCTATTAAACGCTACAATAAGCAAGCATGTCTTATTTTTTTTACAATGCCTTGTTTATTGTTTTTCTAGGTAATTGTTGCGGAAACGTGCCCCCAAACACCTAGCAGGCTCACGCCTTCAATGTTCGTATCACTCAGCCAACAAAATGTTGATGACGTCCTCACCTACCCACCCCCCTCCCCCTTCACCACTTCTGTTTCGCTGGCTCCGGCACTGCGTAACGTCGCATATGATTAAAAGTATTCGTTTCAAAAATGGCGGAACAAAATAGCAAAAGGAAAATTGGTCATTCCTAACCACATTGCCAATCAAGTAGTAACTTTTTGCCTAAAATTAATTTGTATTTCAAGTAATTTCGAATTTACTTCTAGATCTATTTAGATGCATGAAAATGGTTCTGAAGTCTTATTTATACATTGTTTCATGTTTTGTTCTCGCATGTGCAAACTAAAGTATAACACACTTTTGCAATGAGTATACCCATGCGAGCAATCAACAATAAAGTTCAAAAACCATAAAACTGGGTATTACCGTCAGTTAATCAGTTTTTTACCAAAATCAGCCAGACTATAAGACATATATGTTACCGAGTATTATTACATATTGTTACTTTATATATTTGGTTATTTATTCAAATTATATACTAACTACGAATCACTACCTGGCGAAAAAAGCATACTACGTCTAATCACAAAAGTTTATAAAAGGTTTTTACACAATATCTATTTTAAATTAGCAATAGGAATGTTATTTACACATGTTTTGCCTTAATATTTTGCCAGGTATTTTAGGGGGTCAGAAATTATCATATCGTATTAATCAGCTGTTATCGACTATCATCTATTACGAATGCTGAAATTTGATCTCAGTCGCAAACTCTCAGCTCTATATGTAGTACTGAAGTGATATATCGAGGGCAAAAGTATAGATTATTATATTAAAAATAATTACAAAATAGCCATATTAATACATCAAACCTACGTTTCTGGCATCTTTTGGTAAATGTATTAATAAGGGTACAGGTATTTACACATCGAGTTCCAAGTTATCCAAGCTCTTTTCTTTAACTTTGGTTTCTATCTCGTCTTCGTTGTTCCAATATTTCATGTTGTTCATCATGACCATGTTGTTCATCTTGTGTTTGTCAACTGGAAAAGCATATAGCTAATAAATTCGAATCTCTGACACGGAGTCAAGTTTGAAATTTACAATATTTTTTAAAATGCACTAGTCCCGCATTATTCTCAAGGCAATGCGATGTCTGATCAGTATACAACATGATAAAATGCAATAAATTGTTTTCCTCGTTTAAATAGGGTAAACTTTACCTACCTAATATGAACACGTTTTGTGATTGGTTTTCTGAAACAAAAGTGATGAGTGTGTATGACTCTTTTTTTATAAAAATTATTTCTTGTTGTTATAATCAACCATCATAAAGCCTGCTCATATAGGTACGGGGCGACCTTGAAACAGCTGACATGCGTAAGCTGAAAATACTCAAATATACAAATCAG